CCGTTCGTTCTTTTTATCCCCCACTGCACTCACAGCGCGGTCTCTCCACTGATCGCGCAATCCCCAAATTTCCGTCCACACGTCGACCACCTGTTACAATACGTAATACAATAGCAACATATAAGTTGCTATGTCAGACATGCTGTAGCATCACCAGGAAGACAAAGGCAATGATGATGTATTGTACATTATGTATAGAAGCATGCAATTCTATTATGAACGTGTGCAAAGCTTACATACCATTGTCTATTCTAAAATATTAGTTTAATCTGACATGTCTGACATAGCAACTTATTAATAATAATAATAATAATGAACATTTGTATAGCCATATGTTGCTATGGTTTGTGGTATTGTAACAGGTGGTCAACTTTGGCAAAGTTACATGCCACTTTCTCAAGTTAGCACATTGATGACTGACAGATGATGTCACAAGGGGAATGAGATCTGGAGGTTTTTGGGGTGGAGCTTAGCAAGTTTGAAAAACAAATATTTCAACAAATATTTAAAAATCTATGAAACAAATTCAGAAGTTTACATATCAAAATAAGAGATGTATGCAGGACTGCACACCAACAGGAATACACTTGTATTTCGATGTCATGGGCCATTTAAATCATTGGTCTGGAAACAATTATTTGCCCATTGTTGCATATTGTATTACATTTTAACTAACGATGAATTTACATTGTAATGCAATTTTCACGTTTCCCAGGTCTATTTAGGAGAATAGAAGATTGATATTGTTAAGTTGTTCGATAACATCACTCAATTCGATTTGATTGGAGATATATCTCAGTAAAGGCTATTATACTCTCAAACAAATCTACACTATTAAACTTCAAGCTCACTCACACATGATATATTGCGACACTTTCAAGGCTACTTATTATTTCAAGTTTATGTATATACAAACGGCAACAGCTCCAATATTAAATGAAGTTCTTCTCACTTAAATCGTCGGTCTGGAAACAATTATTTGCCCATTGTTGTATATTGTATAACATTTTCACTAACGATGAATTTACATTGTAATGCAATTTTCAAGTTTCTTAGATTTATTTAGGAGAATAGAAGATTGATATTGTTTAAGTTGTTCAATAACATCACTAAATTTGATTTGATTGGAGATATATCTCAGTAAAGGCTATATAGTCTCAAACAAATCTACACCATTAAACTTCAGTTTATGTATATACAAACGGCAACAGCTTCAATATTAAATGAAGTTCTTCTCACTTAAATCATCGGTCTGGAAACAATAATATTTGCCCAATGTTGTATATACTTGTCACTTGTTATATTTGTTATATGATACTAAAGCAAATCGTTACGCTTATCGATAGGATAATGTGAATAACGTGTCGAATAATAACATCATTGCGTGCTATTATTAACCGGACTAGACATGTAAACAAAAATTTAAACATGCATACACTTTTGCCAGCAAGCAAGTTTTTCAACAAAGAATACAAAATGTGAACAACGTTTTACATTTTAGTCAGGACAGATTAGAAGATGCTTTAAAGCATGCCCTATAGTTGAACTGTAACAGTTGTCTTCTAAAGTCTTCCATATATAAATTTAAAGGAGGTCAATAATCATTATGAAGGTTGACACATCAATTATATTGTGTATACATGTAACAATTTGAAAATATTTCTTCTTGGGGGGGGGGGGGTGAGGGCGTGGGCAATTCAGAAAGGGACCGATATGTGAAAAATTGGGTAGTACTACTAGCCCATGGACTGTGGCCTAAAATGGAGGTTTACCAATATCCTTCAAAATGTACGAGTAAATATTGTAGAAATATGTATTCTGTTGGTATCACGTAAACACAGTTTACATTGTATGTGTACAAGATTAAGAGTTATAGAATAAGATCTGTGGTACAAAAATGAATATTCAGCTTGCTCTTTTAAAAAGTCCCTTCCTGCCTACTTACTAACATTTACCTAATATATATTTACAACCCTTCGGAATGCACACTAGATACCGGCAAAGTAAAATTGAAGTGTGAAAAAAGTATATTGCTTGTAATTTTTATACTATAGTTTTGCTAAAGAATGTAATTTTGTAATACAACAAACCTGTGAGGGGGTAGCATAGAGCTATATAATAAGACTTATCATATGGCTCTATGGGGGTAGTCACTTCCGTCACCTCCTCCCCGTTCACTGGCGTACTGATGGGGGGGGGGGACCAGTCCCCCCCCCCCAATAAAATCAAACATGGTTTATTTCTAATTTGATACCAACAATTTACAAATGTTGCTAAAATGGCATTATATTCCCCTGGAATCCCGGGGCTCTACCCCCTGGACCCTTCCGAGGGCCCTAAGGCGGCCCCTAGATGCTCATCCGTCTGATCATAATTTGATGCCTTAAAACCCTGAGATTCTGGGGGCGCCGCCCCCTAGGCCTCACTCCAAATTAGTGACCTGCCAGTATCACAAATAAACCTTATCAAAATGCTCATCTGACCGTAATTAAATGCCTAAAGAACTCCTGAGCTTCATGGGGCTCCGCCCTTGACCCCACGCCAATTTAAGCTTTTTGCTTCGCTCGCTTTGCTCTACCTGATCGTAAACACTTGAGCCCCCCCCCCCTACACCCACACACACACACCCCAACGTTTCTGCTCATTACGCCACTGGCCCCTCTTGCTCACTATGTTCCCTCGTCCCTCGCATTTCGTCCGTTCCCCCCCCCCCCCTGGTCATGAAAAGAAATCGCCGCCCCTGATTAAGATTGTAGAAGCCCTAATTGATTGGAGAGCCAGTCAGCTAGCTATTTTTTATTTACACGCAAGCGAGGGGAATTTCTCGATTAATTCCAATGGAACCGCTTAAAATTCCAATGAAACCGCTCGCGAAGAGTCTAGCCTGGATCGGAGAGCTCGCTAGTGCTATACGCTAGTGTGAATTTAAAAGACAATTTCTAAAGACAATTTTATTTCTCTCTTGAAAAGGCTCTGCCAGGCCCCTCAAGCTCTTCCATGTTGTATGGATCCATTCGAAAGCAAAATAAGCCCACTCAATAAATAATATATATTAAAACGTCATAGCGATTCATCCAAAAAATAAATCCACGTAAGAGGCATTTTGAAAGTTTTAAGAAAATTCCTTCAAATTGCAGGATATTGGGTGTTATTTTTCAGGAAACTTTATTTAAACGAGTGGAAGCACTGGCGGTTCTGTTTTTTTTTAAACTGTAACAATTCTCCTTGGATCAGATAAAGACCAAAAACAAGCCTCATTATCTTCAGTATACAAGTGTCATTTCGGACCTTACAGCTTTCATAGAATTCGCTTCTGGACCGTCAAAGAAAAAGTTTGAGAACCCTTGGTCTACGCATTATACACATCAGGACCAACTTGACAACTTGACACAAATTTGAGGGGGGGGGGGTTCGACCCCCCCCCTTGCGTACGCGCCTGCATGTGCATCCCTTTCCTCCTTATTCCCTTATCCATCGTTACCGTCACTACCATTTGAGTAGGGCTGGCCCCCTCCTTAATAACGACTCCCAAGCCATCAAGAATGACCCCATAATTTATAGATTACCATTCTGCGGTTCTTTGGAGGGGCCGGCCGGCGGGCGCGGCCTTTTCAGAAGTGTTTCTACTCTAACCTTTTCATGCACTACGGCTTAACATAAACAAGCATGGTAAGATTTTTTTTAAAAGAAGCATAATTCCGACTCAGTTTCGCATAACCTAAAAATAAGAATACGGCCAGTCACCCCTCCCCCCTCCCCTCAATGCATCCGCCTTCACGCACCCCCCCCTTCCCCTTGTCTTTCCCTTATTCGTCGTTACTGTCACTAATTTTTAGTGCCATTTCGTTGTCTTTCTTTCTCCCCGGCTCCTCTCTTCTTTTTCTTTCCTTTTTTTTGAACTCTCTCTCTTTTCTTTTCTTTTTTCTTCTCTTTTCTTTTATCTTCTCCTTTTTTTCCCCTTTTTTTTTCTTTCTTTTTTTCTTTCTTTTTTTCTTCCTCTTTTTTTCCATCTCAATTTTTTTGCGCCGCCAATAGGGGGGGGGGGGGGGCCGCGGCCGTTTCGGCCCACCCCTGGATCCGCCACTGATACAGGTATGCTGCTGCTGAAGCAGTATCTATAGGACCAACACGTAAAACTTTATATCTTTTCAAAATGAACGAATTTTTGTTCACTTTTCCTCAAAATTTCATCAAACTGATTCCTTGATTTTTCTTTCACATCTCCACACAATACCACCGACATATCTGACTTATCGATCTCTGTTCTACACACGCTCTCCAGTCTCTTCGTTCAATTATCATTAGAACATAAGGGAATGGCGGTCACTCTAGACAAATGATTGAAACAAATGAAAACAAGATATGCAAATGTATTATACAATTTAATATGTACCACTGAATACAAATAAATACGACTGTGTACAAATCTATTACTATTACGAAGATAAATTCATCATCTTTATCACAGCTTAATAAGGATAAATTTATCTTCATTTAACAGCTCAATGAGGATAAATTTATCTTCATTTAATTGCTAGATGAGGATAAATTTATCTTCATTTAACAGCTAAATGTGGATAAATTTATCTTCGTTAACACAGTGCAATGAGGATAAATTTTTCTTCATTGAACTGCATGTGTTTCAACATTTTCTCTTTGCTAAAGAGAAAATGTTGAAAATCGTCCCTGAAAATGTATCAATTACAATGTACGCGTATATGCCAATATATCAATTGTTTAAAGCTTGGAGGTTACCCTTTGTAGTTGCTCCGCCCGCCCCCCCCCCCTTTCCCACCAGAAAGTGCCCCTTTTTGTTGGTGCGCCCCCACTTTGAAAGATGCTCTGCCGCCCCTGATAGGAAAGCACACAATTATGAAATACATGAAATAAATCTGATTCGCCAGCAAAAGTAGCAGTTCCGGAAAGTTTGTAGATCAATGTTTTTATCAACAAGACATTCATCATTTTACCCCCCCCCCCCTATGTCTACAGGTCAAAAACTTGTGTAACGTTCAGGTGCGAGAATTCCCTTTCAGCTCCTATCCGGAACATGTCAAGAATCTGCAGACGTACGCCTGGAAACCAATCATAATTGATGTAAGTACAATCAACTATGTGCAAAATGTATTTCTTCGTCTTTTGAATATGCTCTTAATAGTGAGGGTTGAATGGGTTCAGTGTGCAAAGGTACGTCCAAATAAGTTCAAATAATATGACTGCGGATGAGTATGCCGTTCGTTTTTATTGTAATTTACAAAAAATTCTATGGATATTAATTTGAAAATAAATCACAGCGCCATCGTTCAAGATTACTAGAAGATCTCATTATGAAAACGCATATGTCGATCTGCTTCACATTTAATTCAATTTTTTAGAAGTCCATAATTAAGAGATCAAACCTAATTAGGTGAATAATTACATGTTCACGAAAATTGTAGAATAACGTGCTAAAACTCTGTATACCAAATAAATGAAGTTCAAATTAGTTGTTGAATTCAAGACATGGGTATGAAAAGTATAAAAAAAAATAGCTGTCTAAAGGGGCTTTCACTCTGGGCCTTGCGTAAAGTTGCGTAGTGTTGCATACCGACTACGCAGAGCGTACGCAACCCTATGCCGGCCTGTACGTAACTGTACGCTGAGGGACGCAAATGGGTACGCGAGATGGACGCACAAAATTAAGCATGTTTAATTTTTTTGCGTACCTTCGGCGTATAGACACTACGCAGACAGTACGCTAGCCTATAGCTACGCCAGTCTGACCACAGCACACAAGACGGTGCTGATGGTGAATGACTGTGGACTGCATGTGAATCATAAGAACTTTTTCATCAGTGTTTCAGGCTATGGTGATGAAAGACTGTTATTGTTCCTGCGATTTTTAATTAACGATAACATGTATCGTGTGATTATGTCCATGTGTAATAACATGTCAAGGTTTTGTTAAATTACACAATTTAATTTTCAGAGTGTCAGCAGGTGTTTATTCTCAGTTTTTAGTAATCATTACTTCATGATTCGGTTAAAGTAATGTATTTCGTGTAGGTTATTTTCATTTAAAGACCGTCAATACTACTGAGCCAGAAGGGATTAGACCACACAGCGAGGTCACTGACAGGTGGCTATCCCCGCCCCCCTCCCCCACCCCCCCCCTCCGGGGTCGGAATGACCGCATGCGTGTTATCAAAATGTCCGGTAAAGGGGTACTTTTCACGCACCAAAGTCCGGCTCGTACATCCACAAAATTGACTTATACACACCGGACTTAAGGGGTGTTTTCAAAAGGAGGGAACACGCATATATGCGTACCCTAAATAACACTGAGTGGGGGGGGGGGGGTGGCCATCTCATTAACTTAGCTCTCAACTAACATAAGAAAAAGAGGACCATGGGGGACCAACAGGCACCGATTTTCTATATAGAGGGAGCAAGTAGCTACAAGTAGGACAGTGGGGCTTTAAACTTCACAGTTTAAATTTCAGTGTTAGCAGGAGTTTGAATGTCAGTTTTTTCCGACAGTCATTATTACTGGAATTATAACTTCATGATAAAGGTTATACGGTAGTTATGTTCATGTCTAATAACATGTACAAGTCTTTTAAATGTCACGATTTTCAAACTGATATTATTATTATAGTATTCATTACCTCATGATAAGTTATAGTTGTGTAACCACATGTAAAAGTTTTTTATAGATCCAGAGTGTCAGCAGGAGTGTGCTTGTGTGCTTGTAACTCTTCTTGTTATATAAAACTGTAGATTAGTGCATTAAAGTTGTAGTATTTACAAGAATACCAGTCAGGGATTTATAATTATTTTGAAGGGAAATTGTATTTTTAGTTACATGTGTGTGTTCTCACCAGTGGCGTACGCAGGATTTTGTTTCTTTGACTTTGTTTTGTATTCGTGCTTGTAATTTTGTTTTTACTATTACAAGGTATTTCAGACTCACATGTCTAGTTTTGTTATATGGTTTATTCAATTTGTAAGATGATGACGTAGATCCTAATCAAATGATTGGTTGAAAGCGTACACGTGACCAGGCATTTATTTTGCCTAACGCGTAATTTGGGTAATGACCGGTCATTACCCAGTGGTACCCAGTGGTAATGACCGGTCATTACTACATCTAGCTAAAATTAGAGCAAAATAAGCGCGACACAAGTCAGAGGTCTAATATTAGACGCGCGCAAGGCAAGGTACGCCTCAATTTGCGCTTATTTTAAACCGAATTTAACCATGGGTTAGATTTAAACCTCCTTTGTGAATTCGGGCCTTTGAGTTTTAGATGAGGGCGATTGATCAAATAACAAGGATCCACGTTATAATTTTATAAAACAAATAATACACATCATTTTGTTCGGGCATTAGTACAATTACCCACACTCGGTACCTTGTGTGGGTAAATCTTACTAATGCCCTCACTGCTGTGTATTATTTGTATATTGTGATATTGACATCTCAGGCTGTTGAAATAAAAAACGAGCGTCTATTGCATTTTTACACGGCGCTTTCGCACACAGTAAGCAACCGTACGCAACTTTAAGCAACTCTACGCCAGTCCTGCGTAAGCGCAACCCTACGCCTGCCATACGCATATGTACGCCAATTGCATACGCCGTAGGTGCGCGATCCCTATGCAGGGTACGTAACCATACTCCATCGTACGCCAGCATAACCTACGCATGCAGGGACTACGCTGAAGCATCATTGTTTTCATGAATACGCAACCTAACGTCGGCGTACTCGGTACGCCACACTACGCAACTCTACGCAGATCCGGTGTGAAAGGGGCTTTATAAATCCCTTTAAAAGAAATCAAATTCACTTGACTATTTGAGTTCCCCCTTGCTGAATAGGGAAAGGGAATGACATCCCTCTCGATCTCGGCCTCAGAATGACCGATTGACGCGAACTTCGGCACGGACATGTCAGTTAGACAGTTTATTCTCTTCGTCTCTTAGACAAGAGAAGAACATAATACTAGGTGATTATGGGACTCATCATGAAGTCGGCTTAAAAATGACATAACGAATTAATCCCACATCCGCGCCAATCAATGTGCCTTACACGAAAATAATCAGAATACGAGATCAAAAGTGTCTTTTCTTATTTCTTTTATCCCTGAATGTCGTCATCTTGATAACTTCTTTGCGACAAGATAACAGCTTGAACCTTAAACCGTGAAGTTACTGCAGTTGTATGCCCTTCAGTCCAAACAGTCGTTGATTTTCAGGAGGTCGCCTTTCGTGTCATCAGAGAGTTTGAATACCTCCTGTATGTTTCAGAATACTATAAACTCAAGGGGCATGGGTATATTTTACTCGCACATGATACATCATTTGATGTCAATTAAAGCACATCATGTCCCGGCTCAACTTGGAAAAGCTGCTTCAGGGATTACCTCGTCATGTTCAAGTTTCCAGATAATCCATTTTGTCAGATCCTTGAAGCCATATATCCTGGATGGTTAAATGCTGCATCTTGGTGAGAGATACCATAAGATGTATTAATTTCCTCATGTATACACAATAAAATGCTTCAGCGTAATATAAAATTCCCTTTCTTTTTTTCAATATCTAAAGTTAATATACTGATGTATATATACATGTTATGCTTTCTTGTTTCATTTTGTCATAGATAACCTTGCGGGAATTTGGCGCCATTTTCTGGGGAGATGCGTCAATCCGCCTCAAGGCCTCACTGCGGAATCTCATACCAATTTCATTGAAACACCATGGATACATGACTCACATTAATGGCTTCGATCCCAAGAAAAAAGAAGAAATTCCACATCAGTACTATTTCACTCATCCCGAACTCTACGCTATCCTAGGTGTTAATAGAACGGAATACTTTCAATCAGAAGACTTGGCGCCGCATGCATCCGCAAATCGTCAACTCTTCCTGAACGGCTCATACATACAAGAAAACATCGTGCAACCCATGTTACAATGTGCTCTGCGGTATCGCTGTATCTCACCGGTTGGAGCAGCATATGGAAAGCATCGTTTCGACGCCTCAATACTTGCTATTTTGATCTATAAGAACCTGAAAGGCGAGTGGACAAGAACGAATAATGACAACCGTGCATTTGATGAGGCGGTGTACATTATAAGAGATACGAAGGGAAAAGAGAAGGTCAAAACATGTTTGTGATTGTATTGATCGCATATGTCTTTTGGAAGGGCAATTAAATTGTAGTGTTTAACTTATTTTGTTTTAAAGGTATTCGTCGTATTTTATTTTATTTTAATTTAAGTGCACGTTTTCTTTTACCATTGGGTGTATTTGTTCTGTGATTTAGGTTTCAATCAATATTTGTATGGCAGAGTACAAAGCTTGATAGACCATATCTCAAAGACTTATTACTTCTTTTTAAATTCAATAACGAGATGATGATTAATTTTCTTTAAAATCATAATATTGTTATTATGTAGTGATATCGCATTTAAAAAAAATATATATATATATATATATATATATATATATATATATATATATATATATACAGAGTGAGTCAAAAAAAAGTTTACACCTAGAAAATTGCTAATTATTATACATCTTATGAAAGAGTGTTTTATCCCGAATCATTCAGTATCATTTTTTGTGGTATGTGTTCACGCTTGGGTGAACAGGAGGCATTGTTGCGAGTGTGCAAAAATCGACTTGCGCCAAAGTTGCCTTTGTGATATTTTAATAAAACAATTGGGATTTGGGTATTAATTCGATCTTTGCAGATCCAAATAACACCCCTAACAAAATTAATTATGCCACACATATCAAATATCGAATATCAAATATCAAGGAACATTTGTGCGCGTGTGTGTGACTTTGCCCTTTGCAAAAAATATATGCAATGCATTTCATTTGATACATTCAATCCATTCTCTCAACATAATACATACTGAAGGCATCACTTTGGCGCAAGTTGATTTTTGCACTCTCGCAAACAATTCCACCTGTTCATCCAAGCGTGAACACATACCACACAAAAATGGTACCAAATGATTTGGGATAAAACACTCTTTCACCAGATGTATAATAATTTACTGTTCATAAATGATTTTAAAAATAATTAGCAATTTTCTAGGTGTAAACTTTTTTTTGACTCACACGGTATATATATATATATATATATATAAATTATAAATTCATTATTTTTCCGGTGACAGCCGCTGGTGTGTTTTAACATTACAATGGAAATAATGAAAAATATTACTTTTTTCATTATGAAATATCATAGCACATATATTTCTCCTTACATTCTTGTTAAAAGATACCCGACTCTTGTCTAATTGTAAAATTTTTATTTTCATTGCAGAAACTGAACTAAGAAAATATAATTGTACAATATTTGACTTTAATATTTAAATTTTAGCTGATTCCACAATATTGATTTTCATTGCAAAAAATGAACGAGGTAAATACAACTACAATATTTGACTCTTAAATTATTATTCTTATTTCAGCTAATTCCACAATACACACAGTGCACCTATCGTTTTTAAGGTATCCTTGGGTATTATAATATCAGCATTCTCTTTTAGTAATTGAAAGAAGAGGTCAGTTGAAAACCAGAGGGATGAGAGCACAAGAGAGAGGGGAGAGAGGTTTATAGAAATCACATCTCCAATTCCTATAATGATGTATAGGTGAACATTTGCTTATGGAATGATAACATGAATGCAATATTTGTTACACTCACTATACACTGCTTATAAAACTCCATCTCTTGTTTTTCAATTTTTTTTAATACAATAAAGAGACAAGTAAGGCAACACTAAAACATCAACATATTGAAGATGGATCCTTTGTGTGACGTAACAATAGTTGTACGTAATATATGAATGCTATACAGAAGCAAAGATCACTTTTGTGTAAGTGATTGAGTTAACAGCATGTTTTAAAGATGAAACTATATCTTGCACATTTAGATGACAGAGGCATCTTTCATTTTATGAAATACTAGTAGAAACCAATCTATATATGAACACAATGATAATAGCATAATCCTAAAGATGAAGGAAGAAAACAAAAATACAACTAGAGAGTACTGGATGATAGAAATGTCTAATCTGTTGGTAGCAATTTTGAAATTTTTTTTAAACTCATAAATAAGAGAGAGGAGTACAGGAGAGTAAAGAGTATTTGGTAATATTTCAGATGGATTGCTGAGGAGTTGAATTTTTCACTGACCATTCAAATGAAAGGGTATCAAGATGACCAGTATACATTTGTATTCTTAACCAGTTTGTTGTTTTTGTAAATAAATAGGCATGCATTGCAGGTACTTTGACTTGTATAAAACCCCCCTCATAGTATGATTGCGAATACAGATAGCATGAAAGTCGATACCGGTAGGATATATGTTAACGATTGCTTGAGTCAGCTTTGTTTATGACTGTTGTTTCTTTAAATGCTCATGACTTTGTTTCATTTGGTCTTTTGCTAGCTTGGTAATAGTTAATAAAAAGAACTTTTTGTTCAGTTGAAAGGTAAAAGCGAAAGATTTCAGACTCTCCCTTTATTACCGCCTTCTTGTAGAACCTTGTAATCAATTAGTTAATTTCAGTCGTAATAATTATATTTCAAACACGTCCTGTACACAAATAGGAGGTCACACAAGCTATATAAATGAATGCCCTGTCATCAAATATGTTTGAATGAAGTGGATCAGATTAGGATCAAGTCTAAAAGACATCTAATGTTCTGAGAGAAACTTTCTCATGATCTCATTGACTTCATTGGGTCTCTCTTGTTGAATGAAATGGTCACCCCCTTCTATACGCTCCACCTTGAGATCATTGCAGTACTTCTCTGTCCCATACGAGTTATCAGTGTGAAGAGCGAAGTCCCCTGTACCCCAGATAAGTAGTGTAGGGCATTCAATCTTATCTATTCTTGCTGATAGTGGATACCTGACTGCTGCCCTGTAATAATTCAGGAATGACGTTGCACGACCTTGAAAAGGGTAAGAAGGTAAGAAGTTAGTCTGCAATCATTTCAAAATCATGATTGCACATTTCAAACTTGCTTTAATGAAAGCTGTTACTACAAATCTTGCTGTAACAAGGTAATTCTGCCTGCCCAAATCATTTGTATTTTACTGTTTTTGAGAACTGATAGTTTAAATGATACAAGATGAGGTACCACCGCAAAACTAGCCAAGCTATTATTTTAGAAGACTAATATATGTAGCAACATTTTCTAACAATACTAGGAGCTGTTGTCTGACTAACGATATCCATCCCACGCCTCTTGTTTACTGATCTCTTTGACCGAATTTCCTCAGTGTGAAATTACTGCTTATCTATGACCCCTGAATATCAATAAAAAAATTCTCAATACTGCTAAAAGATTTCAATACCTCAACAAATGTAAGCTCTTCTAAGCTGTGATTTCTAATACATGTACATGTACTTCCGTTTCCATAAAAAATATGTGATGATATTGCTTCAATTCCATTGGCCTGTTAGAATCCAAAGACTTTGTTGGTGTCAACAGAGCATCAGTACAATAATCACATCATACTGGAGAAGAAAAGAAAGGTACACAACTAAACTAAAGCACAATAAAGCGGTCATTAAAAAAAAAAAAGCTTTCTAGATGCATGGTTTTTGGAATTTTCTTTTAACCTTGAGGCTTTGCAGTGATGGTGAAATGTCATGAAGTGGAAGAGAATTCCTACCTGGTCTGCTCATGGAGTACTTGAAGGCTTCTACATCCTCGTCTGTGGTGGGGCCCTTCTTACACGCTGATTTGATCATGGAAAAGTCTCCCATCGAGACCAAAATTTCAGGAAGATAGGGTAACTGGAAGAACATTATATACCTATATAGAAGTGGAAGAAGTAGGAAATAAACAAATACATTAATCTATTGAGTAGTACTAAGTGTGAGATAACTAGAGATTAAGCCCACATGAAATGCATGTTAAATGAAAATGAGCTTAACATGACAGAGGTGATGCAGGAAAAACGGTGATATCAATGGTTTACAAAAGACTCTCATATATGTACCTGGTACATAACAAAATACAGGTGGCCTTCATAGACAGGTGGCCACTAAGACAGGTTTGATTGTATGACAATGTCGAGGCTCAAAAACTTAAAGGGGAACGGAACAAAGGGCCTAAAAATTGTTATAATGAAGTAAAACATGAAAGTAACCTATCAGGAACCCTATCCCGTGCCCGCCCACCCCCCCCCCCCCTTACCCCCTGAGTGGAGTCTTTTATGCTATCAAAAGCCATATGCATAAATAGGGTTCCATGACACATGCTCCGCCGACGATTGCTCCGCCGACATTTACTCCGCAAAACGCGACAATTGCTCCGCGACATTTGCTCCGCGACATTTGCTCCGACGTCAAATGCTCCGCCGACAGGTGCTCCGCCGACAGTTGCTCCGCCGACAGTTGCTCCGCCGACAATTGCTCCGCCGACAGATGCTCCGCCGACAATTGCTCCGCCGACAATTGCTCCGCCGACAATTGCTCCGCCGTCAATTGCTCCGCAAAACGCGACAATTGCTCCGCCGACATTTGCTCCGCCGACATTTGCTCCGCCTGAAGCGACAATTGCTCCGGTGACATTTGCTCCGCCGACAATTGCTCCGCCGACAATTGCTCCGTCGACAATTGCTCCGCCGACAATTGCTCCGCCGACAATTGCTCCGCCGACAATTGCTCCGTCGACAATTGCTCCGCCGACAATTGCTCCGCCGACAATTGCTCCGCCTGAAGCGACAATTGCTCCGGTGACATTTGCTCCGCCGACAATTGCTCCGACGACATTTGCTCCGCATGAAGCGACTCTTGCTCCGGTGACATTTGCTCCGACGACATTTGCTCCGCCCAAAAAGTGTCCCATTAAATACAAATGCTACTAGTACTACGACAAATGCTTCGCCGACAATATTTTTTTTTTCACGGGTTGTTTTTGTTTCTTTCTTTTTTCTTCATTTTCTGAATGCATTTCATGAAATTATGTAAATGAAATGAAATGAATGAATGTTGATGATGTGGGAGGAAAAAGCAGTTGCCTAAAAGTCATTTCGAATATACTGAAATAACTTTCCATCTATCACTGTACGTCCCACATAATGTACACTAAACACTCATTACATGTCATGGGAAGTTTTTTTTTTTTAAAGTAGAGCAGCAAGCCACATTCCCCAATACGCGCATACCTCCTAGTTAATTTCAAACAGCTCATCAATATGTAAGACCTGAAATTACCTCAATGAAAGAAGACTAATAACATGAGAGGAAAGAAAAGAGCAAAGAAGACAACCATTTTTTGCTATTCCCCATAATGTTTGATTTAAAAAAAACAAAAATAAAGTTATAGCTCCTTACGCAAGTTTTCCGGCGAAAGATAATTACTCCGCTCAAAATCTGTTTCATGTATTACTCATTAGCTGATCCAAAGCTCAAGGCTATCTCTCTCTCTCTCTCTCTCTCTCTCTTTCTCTCTCTCCCATGCTCCTCCTTTTCCTGTTTACACCGTTTTCTTGTCTTCTTTGCTCTTTTCTTTCCTCTCATGCTATTAGTCTTCTTTCATTTCCATCACTTCTTCTCTGCTCCCCCTCTCGAGTTCTATTTCTCTCGTGAAATTGAAACGTAAAGTAATACAATCATGTAGTACATTCTTGTTTAGAATAATATTTTCAATAATATCCAGTCCATTTTCTAAAGGTTTCTTTCCTTTAGTTAAGTGTATGTAGCTTTAATATATATATGTTAGTGTGTAAAACACTCCGTTTCATTCGAGTACTTTGTTTTCACTGAATAATTTAAGGGACTCACGAAGCCACCGGAAGAAGAGCAATTGGCTTATCATGAAGAACTAACATCAAACTGCAACAAAATGATTTGTATAAATGTGAATAAGCAGAAAGGCTGCCATCTCATTTTCCCGTCTGAATGGGTTCTCTTCCTTACGTATATAAGTGCCCTTATTTTCAAAACTTCCATGATGACCTAGTACACTGTATAATGCTTTACCTAGTAAGATACATTGATCGAGGTAATTTCAGGTCTTACATATTGATGAGCTACTTGAAATTAACTAGGAGGTATGCGCGTATTGGGGAATGTGGCTTGCTGCTCTACTTTTTTTTTTAAACTTCCCACGACATGTAATGAGTGTTTAGTATACATTATATGGGACGTACAGTGATAGATGGAAAGTTATTTCAGTATATTCGAAATGACTTTTAGGTAACTCCTTTTTTCCTCCCACTTCATCAACATTCATTCATTTCATTTCATCTACAATATTTCAAGAAATGCATTCAGAAAATGAAGAAGAAAAAAAGAAACGAAAAAAAATAGGTGTAAAGAAAATATTGTCGGCGAAGCATTTGTCGTAGTACTAGTAGCATTTGTAGTTTATGGGACACTTTTGGGCGGAGCAAATGTCGGCGGAGCAATTGTCGGCGGAGCAAATGTCGGTGGAGCAAATGTCGGTGGAGCAAATGTCGGCGGAGCAAATGTCGGCGGAGCAATTGTCGCTTCAGGCGGAGCAATTGTCGGCGGAGCAATTGTCGGCGGAGCAAATGTCGGCGGAGCAATTGTCGCTTCAGGCGGAGCAATTGTCGGCGGAGCAATTGTCGGCGGAGCAAATGTCGGCGGAGCAAGTGTCGCTTCAGGCGGAGAAAATGTCGGCGGAGCAAATGTCGGCGGAGCAATTGTCGCGTTTTGCGGAGCAATTGACGGCGGAGCAATTGTCGGCGGAGCAATTGTCGGCGGAGCAATTGTCTGCGGAGCATCTGTCGGCGGAGCAATTGTCGGCGGAGCAACTGTCGGCGGAGCAACTGTCGGCGGAGCAACTGTCGGCGGAGCATTTGACGTCGGAGCAAATGTCGCGGAGCAAATGTCGCGGAGCAATTGTCGCGTTTTGCGGAGTAAATGTCGGCGGAGCAATCGTCGGCGGAGCATGTGTCGGGTTACCATAAATAGACCACAGGGAACCTTAACAATAACATGACAGGGACACACACATATTTGCAAGATGGTTTTGTAATGATTAACACAGGCCATTTGCAATACATGTTTGCACTGCCTGCTTATTTTCATGCGTTGTTAAATTCGCAATTCTACAATTTCCCAAATTCACAAAGAGAAAACCTGTCATGAAATAACGGGTACAACTTTCTAGGGAATGTAACGACAGCAAAAAGACATCTCACCATGACATCAGAAGTTGAGCTATCCCACTCTTCATCACTTCAGTGAACCTGCCAGGGTGGGGTACGTTCATGTTGATGAATTTCTCCACCAGGTCTGGGTAGCGGGCAACAAACTGCCAAGCCACTGCTCCACCCCAGTCGTGTCCTACGATGACACAGGATGTGTAGCCCAACACTTTGATCAACTCGCTCACATCCCCTGCAATACATTTGAGAGGAATAGAAATAATTATTACGTGGGAATGTTGCCCTTTTGAAAAACAGATATTGCTATGGTAAATGAAACATGTCCTGACCACAGGCATAAGTCATCTATTCAAATAACAAACACAAAACCGCATACCCTGATTCCAGCATTCCAGTGAAGTAAAACTATTATTTCTATCATGTTTATGGCATCACTGTTGATTTACAGTATTTAATTAAATGCGCAACAATAATATGGCCTGCGGGAATGGGACTTAATACTGTTTTAAACTGAAAGTTTGGGCAATATTAAAACATTTTTAATGTCAAACCTCCCTGCAAATAGAATATATGATAACTTTTTGAAGTACTAAAAGAAACAGACTTAAGTATGAAAACTAATTATACTGTCGCCCTGCGCGGTTGACATGTAGTTTTTTTGCTCTGATATTTGTGTAGTTTTTCATGATTATATTGTGTACGGTATATTGTTTTTCAATTGTATCATGCTAATGTTGTTATGTGCATGCATACATGTACATGTGGCCAAATCTAGAATTGTATTGTGCAGTACATGGTGAGATGTTTTTTATTTAAGCTACACTGAATCTGTAAGCCATTAGTACATGTAGGCTATATGCTTTGTATGTATCCTGTGCCTATGCACTTCACTTTGATAGCTCAGTCGGTAGAGCAGTGGTCTCATAATCCGGTGACCCGGGTTCGAAACCAAGTCGATGCGCTAGTGTCCTTTGGTAAGGCATTAATCCTCATTACCAGGTCCCTCGGAGAGGACCTAAATGCTTTCTTAGCAGTCAGGTAAAATAACCACCTTCACATAACACCTTCAACATGCTGTAGCCCAGTTTTATAGGGGCTATTATTCTGTAAGTCATTGATGCTCTGGTGGTACAATAATAATAATAATAATACATAAGATTTGTATGGCGCCAAATCCACTTGACAATCAAATGCTCAAGGCGCAATGGATCTATTGAGACTTTGGCTCATCATTCACATTGTATCTGCTTTCCAAGTCTATACTACAGCTGTTCACCATCATGTACATGTAGGTGAACAAGGATATTAAAATACTTCAGTATCCATGATTCATTGTAAGTACTTGAAACACCGCCAGCGATACTACAAGAATTAATCAGCAACATTTCAGCTCCAGTTACGAAAGTCCGGCGAAGTCGACCTTAATCCAGGACCGACAATGGAACATGTACTCAGGGTCAGGACCATGGTGCTACCAAGCATTCTACATCCTGCAATAGAAACGGAAAACGCACAGTGTACGGCAGGGATTTGCTGTTGCAGTGCAACCCTGCATAGAGACATTTGAGTTTTGAGACAAAGACAAATGGATTACCAAATACACTTCACAAAACAGGTAGGAACAGAGGCATGCTCCACAAGAATGTATGGAAAGGGAACAAGGAGCTAGGTATCCAGACACATCTTTGAGGGAAAAATGGAGACAAATTCTACAAACGGGAAACTGCACTTCAAGAAACAGAAAGGGAGGAACATCGACATTCTTAGAGCAGTCCAATACGTAAATAATTCTCCTGTTGAGTCTAATTGTAATGTTTGTTAATGGAATGTGCGTTGTGTCAGGAAAAACTAGATGGAATTTTGACTGCGCGCAGTCGAAAATGATGCCTCCGCCATAGAGCAATTTAAACAAGTTTGGAGTTTAAATCTCCAGTGGTTCTTGAGATATCATGATAACAATCTCAATGTATGGAATTTCATAAGTTGACCTCTGTGACCCTTGACCTTTGACCTACGTGCTCCAAAATCTAATCAGATTGTCTTCCTATGGTGATACACACTATCATTAAGTTTGAAGTTTAAATCTCCAGTGGTTCTTGAGATATTATGATATGGTGATACATACTATCATTAAGTTTGAAGTGAAAATTCTCCAGTGGTTCTTGAGATATCGCGATAACGATCTCAATGTATGGAATTTCATAAGTTGACCTCTATGACCCTTGACCTTTGACATACGTGCTCCAAAATGTAATCAGATTGTTTTCCTATAGTGATACACACTATCACTAAGTTTGAAGTTTAAATCTCAAATGGTTCATGAGATATCGCGCTAACAAACTCAATACAAGGAATTTCATAAGTTGACCTCTGTGACCTGTGACCTTTGACCTACGTACTCCAAAATCTAATCAGATCGTCTTCCTATGGTGATAAATACTATTCCCGAGTCTTAAGTTTAAATCTTAAATGGTTCTTGAGATATTGTGATAACGGTCAAACGGGACGGACGTACGGACGGACGTACGGACGGACAACCCGAAAACATGATGCCTCCGGCACCACCTTCGGTGGCGGAGGCATAAAAATACACATGTTACTAAGTGTGTCAGTGTACATGATATCGATTTCATGTTTATTACTGAACCTGGTTAAATTCACTGGATGATGTGGTAATTGGGGAGTGCACTAGTGCTTTACATGATTTAGTGTCATCTCAACCTGCAGGATTAGATAATGAATCCTCATATGATTGGTATGTTTCTGGAGTCACTAAGGTACGCTCCATCGAAAACCAAGTCTAACCCTTTGAAGTTACATAGACCTTGGTTCAATTAGTCTGTGCTTGTGGCACGCCAACATCGCCGTAAGGCATAACGAAAATGACGAAAAACAAGACTGGACTCATATCGCAAATTGTTTATAGAAGTTAATAAGAATGTATGCCAAGTCATTGATATCGCTACAGAAGATTTTTTTGAAAGATAAGTTGGGTTCATGTACTGTCAAGAAGGTATATCAGATTATAGATTCTGTTTTAAATAAGAAGTCAAGTCAACTCCCCTTGCATGACTCTGCATCCAGATTGGCTAATCAGTTTTCTTCATTTTTGTTGGTAAGATAAGAAAGATACAAGATGAAATAGATGCTTGTGATTAAACGAAAACATTCCTCGTTTTGAAAACTTTCAGTTGCTTACACAATCAGATTTGTCAAGAATCATTATGTTATCAGCTACTAAATCCTGTCGACTTGATCCCATCCAAACATGGCTACTGAAAAAGAACCCTGATCATTTATTACCATTGCTTACAAACATAGTCAATCAATCCCTTTTCACAGGTACTTTCCCCAATGGAGCACACAGCAATAATCAAGACCAATTTTGAACCAAAATGACCTTAGAAATTATAGACCAGTGTCAAACTTAACATTTTTAAGTCAACTCATTGAGAAAGCAGCAATTAGTTCATCACATTGAATCTAATTATCTTTCTGATTCTTTTCAATCTGCTTATAGGTCTTCCAGATGTTCAGTTGGATGTTGGTGGCACACTCATTAGCCCTTCAAAAACAATAACAAACCTTGGCGTTGTATTTGATTCTTGCATGTGGATGTCTCACCATATTTCTCACATCTGTAGTGTGGTTACGTTATATTTAAGGAATATTGCTAGAATCAGAAGGTTTATTGACCAGTCCGCCTGTCATAAAGCTGTGCATTCTTTAGTTCTATCCCTTATCGATTATTGTAATGAGCCTCTCTCTACCATTCCCTCTACTAAATTAGATCGTGTCAGTGCAACGGCTACAAAATTGGGCAGCCCGATTGATATTTCAGGTTTCTAGGGACCATCCATCTCAGCCACTCTTGAGATAATGTACTGGCTTCCTTTGAAACAAAGAATACTTTTTAAATTACTTGTTTGTATTCAAAATACTCAATAATCAAGCTCCACAATATTTAGATACCAGTACCTGTTTGAATTTATATACACCTGCCAAGGCATTGACCACTTTTTGAGGTCAGCCAGTGATCCTTTCCATCTCACATATTCAGTTACCTGCACATTAGCCGGTGATAGGACATTTACTGTATCTGCTTCAAAATACTGGAATGATCTCCCACTTAGAATTAGGCAGTCTCCATCAGTTATTACCTTCATAAAGGCCTTAAAAACACATTTTATTTGCAGTTTGTAGTTGTACAGTAAGTCTGTTTTTCTTATTATTTGTAATCATGTAATTTTGACTTTCATTCACTGAAAGCACTTTGGGCCTTATGGGAAAAGCGCGGTATAAGTAATAATGATAATAATAATAACTACTATGAGGATAGTTGACAATGTTAATTCTTACCAACAAGTTCTGCCATGCCATAATTCTTGACACCCAATGGAGCATCTGATTCCCCAACTCCTCTCATATCAAAGGATACACAGCTTCATCAATGATAAATATAAGAAATAACAATTTACGTTAAAAAAATCAACAACAAAACAAATACATTTTTTTCTAGAACCGGTTTAAGGTTTTGTAGAATATATTATATACCTCACTTAAGAAATCTAGCCATCTGATTGGTCGAATTGCATTCATAAACTTCAACTGTTCCTGTAAAATTCCCGGTAACCATGCATAAAACATTTCAATATTTTTAATAACCATGGTTATTAAAAAAATAGGTCAGTCTCCATGGTTACCCCATAGGTTTACATGTTAAAAAATGGTTTGAGCGATGGAGGATACCATACGTGTGCGAAAAATTGGTCGGCAATTTCAATATAATTGAATCTCGATCGATCTTACCGACAATTTTATCTTGCATTGTTGACATGAAGACGAAAATTAACTCTCAAAAACAAAAAAACAACATCTGCAGATAGATCTTGATCTAAGTTCGTGCCAATATGCATTGCAAAAGTAAAAGAAGAGTCCGTATATGGAGCTTTTGCGAAGCATTCATCACACGCGAAGCCGGTTTCAATCCATTTTAATGTATATATCGTACAAAACTGCCAAGCATTTTGAAAGCGCGCGATGGCCGAGAGGTCTGAGGCGCTGACTGAACATACAACACCTTTTGTACGCAAGAGTTCGAATCTCATCTTCGACCAAAAAAAATAGTATTTTTTATTTTTTATTTTTTAGTCTATTTTTTTTCGGCATATAAAAGTATTAATGACTGCTTTAATATTCGAGAAATAGTTGTTTTCATACGCTCTCGGGAAGGTTACAATTGGGCTATTCCCCTCGGCAAGCCTCGGGGAATAGCACAATTCTAACCTTCCCTTGAGCGTAATAAAACAACTATTTCTCTCAAAGCAGTCATTAATACTATAATAAATCATGGATTTAACATCACATTCCTAAAAACCACTACAATATGTGATATATGTAGACACCTCATTATACACCTCATTATACAAAACGAAACCGAGAATAATCGATGTTTTATCATAACTTAATCGCAATTATAATGAATAAATTACACATATTTGTATAGTTTAGATCTTCCTCTTTCATTTGATGAAACTCATATGATGCATATTTCACGCATGAGTGATTAAAAACAATTTGAAGAGAGGAAAGTAGGAAACCAAAAAGTCATTTGGCGGGCGGTATCCAAATTTCAAAGAGAAAATCACATTTCTATAAAGTTCATTTTCTGCCCTTTCATCAATCACCTCAATCAGGAGAAATGAGCCAGGAATAACAAAGTTCTGTTTGTCTAAAGTAATGCTTGCATTTCCATAATTTGACTAAACGAATTCGGTTTAACTGGCTGCCTGCCGTAGCAACAAACAGAGTTGACATAAGACGTTTTGTTGACGATCAGCCATGCATCAAGTCTTTCTTCTTCTTTGTGCTCTTCTCTCTGCTCGTCATTTATGTGTCATTTATTAATTATATCTGTAATCAAGTTATGATAAAACATCGATAATTCTTGGTTTCGTTTTTTTCTGGGAAGCACTGTATAACTGTAATTTGTTACTTCATACTCTCAAACATCCCATTTTTTTTTTTTTTTAAACTTGTAAGACCTGTAGTACTGTAGCCAAGTGACAAAACACAACGTTACCCTGTCTATCACCTCATCAGCTGGGGAATTTACCCTTGCCGGGTATTTTTATTCATCAAGATTAATGTGCACTACAGTTCATATACATCTAGGTTGTGTGAACAAGCTCTATCCCATTAATTATACTCACTAATAATCCTTGTTGAATGCTCTGATCTGATGTCTCCAGGAATACCAGCATTCTGGGAAGCCATGGAGAAAGAGCATCAGCGGATGATGAGGATTACCAGACACGACCACATGAAGGTTCAATCCCTGCAAAATGTTAATGCAATACAGATAGATCAAGAGTAATGATATTGATACAAAGTACATGTATGTGTAAAATGCTTACCGGTATATATCATAGAACTTTATATAAAGAGTTGTTTCTTACACTCACATACAAATTAGATATCTAAGGATATCATTACTTACTGTGTACTTTTATCTACACATCATATACCTTTATAAAGAGTTCTTTCTTATACTCGCAAATAAATTAAATAACTAAGGATATCATTTTTATAAACCCCTGACTGGGTCCTTGGGACTATTATAATATCATAATTCATAAGGTAATCCTACAGATTCTCGCCAGATTAGTAAAAACTCCCAGAACATCCTAAAAATGCTCTAAAATAAAAAAAAAAAATATTAAAATGAACCAAATATACCTTTTTGATGCAGAATAACTAGTCCAAGGTCAACATTTGGTTGGATTTTAGGCATTTCTTCAGGACAAAATGCAATCCTTTTTCGCTGGCAGCCTACGCGGCTAGGTAGCCGTGACCTCCACTTCTTGGCCGCCGTTTTTACACACGTTTAGAAAAGGGATTGCGTTGTCCTGAAAACATGCCTTAACATCGACCCATTGACCTTTAATGTTGACCTTGGACTTGTTATTCTGCATCTGTCACAATGTGACAGGAATTTCTTTCATTATGACCCCTCATGACCCTGTTGAGTTGTATAGGCATAGAATGTAATAGACATGTGCTAATTGAATGGATGTGTTTGGCTGCAATTTAGGCACTACTTAGGCCTAGCTAGGTCACCTAACTGGAGTTCTCTAGTGTTTATCTTTGTATGTGTGTGTGTAAAGAATGAGGAGAATCGTTATAGAACAGTTTGGTATACCAGTAGACAATTTCACGCATTCACAGTGGTTGTTTCATCGGTGTGTCGAAAGAAAGAGAATTTCTCCTGCTCTTAATTAAGCAGGAGAATTTAATCGCCTATTTCTCTTCTTTCCATCAGCTATTCTATCGGCTCTTTCTCCTCTGTACCATTCATAGTGGCCGTTTCATTGGATGTGTCCGGATGCATCCAATGAAAATCAGGCCAGTTTGAAAGCGGTATGAGAGAACCAAAGTGGGTTGAAGATTTAGTACAGTTTAGTTGCTTTGGAGATCTCAAGTCAAGAGGATCAGACCTATCTGATCTTGGTCTGATTTTGGAGTGATGAGGGGTGTTGGCCACGAAGGTGAATGTTACAGGCTATAACAGCAGACTTTCCCTACAGGACCAGGCTGTAATAAAAGCCTCATCAACCCTCACCCTCAACTGTAAGTTATAGAAATATTCCTTTTTAATTTGTTACCCAATTTGTAATGATCTGGAAGCAAGGTTTTTTCATACATTTCATAAAGAGAAAGCAATTTTCTGTGTATAATGAGATAATGGATATTTGTTTTTGTTTTATCTTGCATGTTGAATAAGGAAGAATTAACCTTGATTCCTTTATTTTGCTTAGAATATAATAGGTGTAAAAATGCTTTGTACTTCGAAGTGATATATATAACTATTATAAAGACACACATTTTATTTTTACTATTTCAAGATGAAAGATACTGTACACAGTCAATTATAAATGTCGTCTGTTTGAATTGTTTATTTCAGTAAAGCAAAGCTGTACTCTAGAGAGATTGTAATGATTGTTGAATTTGTTGTAAATTGTTTGGATGCAGGGCTCAAATTAATTTTTTGTCCACGGGGCTCTTCCAATAAAAAAAGAGCCCCCGTGATCGAGCCTTCTAACAGGGGCTCTTTTAGTACTGACGGGGGCTCTTTTTTAATACAAATTTCCATTGAATTGGTACCCATGATACTCCTAAATTCTTTGCTATTTCATCATTATCATTAAAAGTCGGCATTACTTCCCTGCAACTTTACAAGTTAGAACATGCAGCTAATGGTCTATACAAAATTTCTGGTCCAAGCCCATAGGCCATATATTCGCCTCCTTGCCAAATGCCAACAGGTTTCCTTTTACTAGATCTCTAGACCAATTATAGCTTTCGGTTGATTTACTGGTCGAGGTTCATTATTTGCTGGTCTTTTGGAACCACTAGATCGAGATTTCAGAACCACACGATTTTCACAACGAAAAACTTCTCCACGTTTCGGTCCTTGCGCGATCGCCTCTAGCTCCAGCAGATATGGGGCGGCAGCGTGTATTATTTGTAGCCTAGACCCTACATGTACCTTTTCAAGGGAACAACTCGGCCCGGATGCAAAAACGGTCATTTTTTGCATGTTTAGTTTAGGGTTAGGTTTAGGGTTAGGGTTAGGCCTAGACCGAAAGCTTCAGTCTCTATACCGTCGGTTGTTCCACTGAGACTACGTCTGGCTCCACTAGACCTCCGGTTATCTAGTGGAGCCAGACGTAGTCTCAGTGGAACAACCGACGGTATAGAGACTGAAGCTTTCGGTCTAGGTTAGGCCAGGGTTAGAGTTAGGGTAAAATGACAAACAATGACCGTCTTTGAAGCTGGGCCGAGTTGTCCCCTGGTCCGAGTTAGCCCGGATCCCTTTTTAAGCTCCTGTAGGCTACGTCTGCAGTATACCGGTACATAACAGGAGCGATGCCGACGCCGAAGGCGTCGTAGCTTCCTGGAGTAGACCTAGGCTATAGACATACCCTACAGGGATATGACTAATGCGGGGCCGGGGGGTTACTGAGCAGAGTAAGAGAAGGAAGAAACACGAAATTGAACTGGAAGCCCGACTGAGAATGCTGAGAATGCAGCATCATTCTTCCTGAATCTCGGGTAAAAAACTAAAGGTAAATTTAAAGGTAAAAAAGGTAAGGGCCTAGAATCTATACCGTACGCCCTACGACCTACCTTCACTCGAACAGTTTTGTGAGTGCCGAGATTGGGGTCGTTCATGCAAGATGGTCGAGCAGTTCGCTCCTTTTTCTGGAACATCCATGCCCTTCCTCTGAAAATTAAAGATAACACCAAAAGCGAAATTCCCTTGCAAACACTGTAGATGGCAAATGGAATCAGAATAAAGACCCCAATCGCTTTCCGAATAAGATTAGCCATGCTTGTCGACTGCATGCATCGATGATATGAGCTTCAAGTTCACAAGTTTCGTTCATAATGTTGAGCTCACGTATATGGCGCGCCGTTTGACCAATACTTATAAAGGTGAAATTCAAAGAAAATCACAAATATGTCAACTAATGTATCACTAGAAACTGGTAAGCTAACAGATGGCCATCGTACACGTTTTAGGTACATATCGTATACATATCGGATGATTTATAAAAATACAAATACAACCACCTCCATAGCAGCTGGGATATAGGAGAGATTCGCCAGAAAAATAACGATGTTTTAATGACGTCACTATGGACCAACACTGCCCAAGCAGACGACATCCCATAGAGAATGAACATAATTGCAAAGCTATTATTTCTCAAATTATAACGAGTTTAGTGTATATAAATGTAATGGCATGTCAAACCATTCAAAAGGGGATATGACCCGATTCTGATAACTAAAATCTTTTGCTTGTAAATACACAGGAATTATAAGAAACCATGATTTCAAATTGAAAAACCCCCAGAATGATATTAAAGGTAATACAAAGTTTTGGGAAATTTTGAAAATAGGCACCGCAGGATACTAATTCTTTACAATTTTGATATATTTGGATGCCCCTGTGGATGTATTATAACCACTAAAAATTTAGCCCCTGAAATTTTTTGAGAAAAATTGAATATAAAAATTTACCGGTGCTCCCGGTAAATGTTGATAAATTTCAAATAGCGCTTGCGGCCATACAATGGTAGCTGTGACCATGAAAATCTCAGAATATGTAGTTGTGATATGATCATTTCTAAACGGGAATAGCCGATTGGCCCCAGGTCGAAATTCCATTAGGATCCGATCCTATTGGACCATCAGAAACCATTAGAGCTATTGGTGTTTAATGGTTTCAATAGGGAAAGTGAAATGATGGACCCACAGAAACCATTAGAAAATATCTATTGGACCAACACAAACCCACAGAAAGAAATGCTGATGGACCAACAGGAAGCTTCTATTGGACTAGCATCCACCCATGTCTTCTATTAGTTTCTGTTGGTCCATTAGATATTTTCTTCTATGATGGGTTTCTGTTGGTCCATTAGATATTTTCTATGGGTTCCTGTTGGTCCATTAGAGATCTTTCTAAGGGTTTCTAATGGTCCTATATTCTGAATTCCCTATTGCAACCAATAGTTCAATGGCTTCTATTGGTAAATCAATAATGGTAAATCAAATCGATTTTAGCAACTGTCCACCAAAAAAAGTATATTCTAATCTCAATTGCATTAACTTCATCACATAGATCACTTGAAGTGAGTTTAAGAATATCCTTTATTTTAACAGAAGGCTTGTACTATTCTATATAATAAACATACATGAATTGTTTCTTGGTTAGTAATCATTATAATCAATATATCTATTGATAAAACGTGAATGAAATTGTAACATGATTACAAAAATAATCTATTGGTCATAAGTTGCCGAAAGAAAATAAAAATCACAAAATTGATGTACATTGTCATAAGTTGCTTAACAAATTATGATAAATGTAATTTTCTGTGAACATGTATAAAGTAATCATGAATATGCATGAGATAGATTTAGCTGTTGGTTTCTATTGGTTTCTATTGGACCTATTGGTTTCTATTGGTCCCATTGGGTTCTATTGGTCTCATTGGTTTTCTATTGGTCCTATCGGTCCTATTGGTCATATTGGTCATATCGGTTCTATTGGTTTCTATTGGTCTTATTGGTTTCTATTGGTCCTATTGGTTTCTATTGGTCCTATTGGTCCTATTGGGTTTCTATTGGTCCTATTGGTTTCTATTGGTCCTATTGGTTTCTATTTATATTGGTTTCTATGGGTGCTATTGGTTTCTATTGGTTTCTGATGGTTTGAATGGTCTCTATTGGATTCAATTCTATGGGTCCAACAGAAACCAATAGACTCCAACAGAAACCATTAGAGACCAATAGAATTTTTCTAATGATCTCTATTCGTCTCTATGGGATTTTCGACCTGGGGGTCAATTTGAATTACGTTGTTTTATGGTTTAATTGATAGCTTGACCTTGAGAGGGAGCTATACAACATAAAGAGTTTATTATTTACAATTTCATAACTTCAGACTCGATTTCAACCGCGACAATGATCACTAAATATTGTAGGATGGCATATGCTTCCAATATGTTTATTTGAACCAAATTCATGACCCCATACCAAAACTTTGTATTATCTTTAAGGACGACATTTGATCCCTCTTGAAATGCCGAACATACCGCGGTGTGTGCAGCTGAATATACAGTGGCGTCTTATTTTGTTTACAAGCGACATATTCCTTTATTTTTGTATCGCTGCATTTGTCATCAAAATAAAACCATGCGCAGTATAGAGTGAGGCAATGTATTATACATTTTAGCCTCACGGTAGTGAAGTAGAGAAAGAACTCAAGAAAAGATGAAAACACAGGCACTGAAAATGTGTGAGATGTCACAGGACATCGTCTGCTTGAGCAAATCATGTCCATACTGTGATCTCACACATCTCAGCAGCGTTCGGAGAGCTCTTCAGGTGCTATGCCGGGTCTGTATTTAAGCGTTTTGTAATTTATAATAATCATTACTTCGAATGTTTCCAAGCATTGAATTTTGATAACCTTGTCGAATCAAAGTTTCAACTTTGCAATAATGAAAATTTAAGTTAGTTTTTAAAATCAATGAATATCTACTTTAAAGAGAAGGTTGAGTTCTGGGAAGAGGTGAAAAATAATTTGTGAGCGTTATCATTCTTATTATGCAAGTGTGGAAGAACATCAGATAAGACATGTTCCCTGAAAAGCATGGCTCTTCAAATGCCTTCATATTCTAAATATGTCATGTAACATCGTGTTCGTGTCCCATATACATCTTTCTGTGTACAGTGTTTGTAACTTTACCAAGACTTGGCCAAATTTTTTATCATTTTAATGATTCCAGAACCTTGCAAAACACACAAATTCTTATATGCTACATGATCAACGTTTTCTGGTCGATTCCACACCGTTTCTTTCACAATGCAATCGCATGACCAGAACTCAATTTCATCTTTAACTTGTTGTTGTTGTTTTTTTTTGTAATGGCAATCAGTCAAGACCCGACTATTATCACCAACGCCTTTCTTTTTAATATTAATTTCTTTCTTTCTCTTTTTTTAAAATAAGAGTATCAAAAATAAAATTTAAATATAGGCTTCTCTCTTTTTTTTTTCTTTTTCTTTTTTTCCCCCTTAAAATGAAATGAAAGAGAAAATAGATGAAGAAAAAAAAAAATGTAGATTTTTGTATCCTGTAGGTTACCGCGTAGTCCTGTCCGTTCTAAGACACCGTCCAGACACCGTCCTGTCTCTCGGGTGTAGACAGGGGGCTCCCTTTGGGATACATTAATAATCTGGAAACTCGAAAGAAGAAATGAATTGATCAACAATTTTAAAATCAAGAGGGTACTTTTCCGGGGAAATTTGCTTTGAGCGACTTCGCAGACTTTAATGAACCTTCGATTAAAAGAAAAACAATTTTGTGATAGAGTGGTGTTTATAATACATATTGCATTGGATAATTAAACTTTTTAGGGGAAACAAACAAAATGTGGGATTTTGTGAGTGGTGGTGCAAAAAAAAAAAAAAAAAAAAAATATGCTCGATTATTTTGGGTTAATTGAAACGTTTCGTTCTTACAACGAAACGGTATAAGCGTTTTGAATGTTAGCTTCTGATGAATTTAAGAGCCTTAAAATATCGTCTGGATTTATACAATCTGTTTCAGCGAGTATAGCATGGATCTTTCAATTAAATATTTCGGGCACTTTGCTATAAAGTGTTCAGTGGTTTCTACTTCTCGACACGAGTTACAGTGTCCAGTTGGATGTATTCCCATTCGACCTAGATCCGCGTGTCCAAGATGTGTCCAAGTCGTAAACGACGTATTATCTTTTCTTTTGCTCGGTCTAGTTTGCAAATGAAGGTTTGTGAAACCGATTTTTGGATTGTTTTGTAGTGTGTATTTGGAGAAACCTGCCATCTTAATTGTCACAGCTCGGTAAAATGCCTCTCTAAAATGCTGTTCACTTCTGAGATATTAAGGCTGTTTGTTATTTCAATGTGTTTGTTGAGGACTGCATTAGCATGAAAATCCGCACATTCATTTCCCGTTATTCCACAGTGGGAGGGAATCCATTCAAAGCTAACATTTATATTTTTTTAATTTAAGGTGGGATAATTAGCTTACAAGTATTTCTGGAAAAAAAAATAATAATGTCATGTTAAAAATGACCCATGGGCCTATAGATAATATCCCTTTTCTCAAATTCTGAATAGCGATGTGTACCTTGTCATTTTGGCACCAACTTATTTTTCATTAAACTTTGCACCCCCTCCTCTCTATTGTAGAACATTTTTGCATAAACTTTTGCCCTGCTTACTCTCTTAATATATTTCCTTCTCCCTCATTAGGAAAGATGATCAAATCTATCTCGCTGCTGCCAAATCTAAAAAATTGACAAGGTCGGACACCAATTACTCAATCATACATAAGACTGCACCAGCACCATCACACCTCAGTCATAACAGCATTATGATTACAGAGTGCCATCACAATCGCCACCATCATCACATATCTTTCACAAAATAAGAAAATGAAAAGAAACGAATTTAGCAGCACTAAATCTTTTTATCAACATTGATGGACTCATTTATCAACATATTTTTGTCTACAATGATCTTTTTAAATGCAACATAACATTATATTAAATCGAGACAAGGAAACTAACACATGAATGGGGGGGGGGGGTGGCTGCCTCTCTTTAATAAATTTGGAAATTTGAATATTTTAAAATGAAATCCATATGATTAATCAAATTATCAACATGCTATGGAAAGCACAGGTATTTGCTGAGTTTTAAGAGTACTAGTTATCACTCGATAAACATAGTTTCTCTTGATAAACAGTGTTTTTCGGCGATAAACAAATTATCGGCGATAAACAGTGTTTATCTGAATTATTGGTCGAACGGCGTGCCATAAACGTATACTACGTGCGCGCTTTCAAGTTACGAACGGGTACGGTACGTACGGTACTCTTTGACAGAACGCATAACCAGGGGCGTCGCTAAATGGTGTGTGTGTGTGTGGGGGGGGGGGGGGGGGGGGGTGCGACAACCCCCACCTGTCAGGATATTGTCGGTAAAATTGCGCTGCTGTTGGGGAAAATGAGAAAAGGGGGAGGGGAGAAATGAGAGGGAACGGA